GTAAGATCCCTGCTGCGACCTGATGCCGTCATCTCCTGTGTGGTGTGAGACTGTGAGAGCCGGAGCGTATTGCTGACGGTTCAGGTCGGCGGGTGACATGGATCGTGGAGATGTAAAACCCTCGCTGTCGCTGTCGGAGCCGCCAAAAGTAGGAGAAGGGGGACCACGCGGGTGACCAGGGGAAGGAGGAACTTGGAGAGACATGTCGACAGCGCCGTTGTGGTTGCGTCTTCCACTAAGCTCAGCCTCGGAGGGACGGAGCTTCATTGTGGGCGGGGAAACTCGTTTTGCGTTGGGTTCCTTGTTGGCGTTAAGATTCAGGCTGAGCATGCTGTTGTTGGCAGATTGTCCCTTCATGAGTGGCGAGTTGACGCTTCCTCCGACCAAGGTGCTGGTGCTCATCGTTGGGTTGTCGCCCATGACAGATCCTGCTCTTGACGTAGGTCGCGATTGAGCAACACCAGCGTAGAAACCAGCCTCGATGGCACGAATACCGAACAGATCACCCTCATCCTTCTCACGCTGATTCAGTTCAACAGTGTCCTCCTTGGGTCCGGCCTCTAGCTCAGTTTGCTTCGCCTTCTTCAACCTTCCTATCGTTAGTTCACGTAGCGTTTATGTCGACATGGTCACTTACTTTTGACGGTTGTACATCACTTTGATGAACCCAGCGAGGATAGTAAGAGCCAACAGCGACAAGAATACAATGCTTTTTAAGATTAGTCTTGGACTACCATTGTCCCTAGGAAACATACACATATTTGTATGCCAACTGCAGGTTTCCAAACCAGTTCGACATTGTGGCGGATAGTGTTCTTGAGCTAGATCTATCGTGTGTCGAGTATATGTAGTCGTTACAATTAGGGTCGGTTGAAGATGCTCCGATCGATCCGAGTACTAATTATTGTCGTATGTATTGTTCTAGCGGAATGAGTGTCGGGTAAAAGCAGATGATATCCTAATTCGGAAGGCGCAGTACAGGACGATATTATGAACGAAAGGACGTGTATACAAGATACACAATAGAGAATGACTGGGGTTGCGAGTCCTTGGAAGAGCGAAGCAAGACGAGCAGAGCCGCGGGGGATGAAGAGTAAAAGAGCGTAGCTTCCACAGGCGCGCGCTGACTGCCTCAGTAGTATGGCGCTACCCATACGACGTCGGCACGCATGGTTAAGATCTAAAAGCGGAGGCGACAGCCTAGGTCCTAACGCCCGCCCGTCAAGCGAATCTCCAGACCAATCAAAGTAAGCACGGTGCCATAAACGGAAGGCTGATTCAGGTGGACTAACGAATTTAGTTGTGGTTTTGTTTGAAGGCGTGGTGACCCGGCATGCCCATGCAGTATCAGCCCTGCACTCGTGTCAGTGCCCTCCGAAAATTCGCATCGATGTCAGTCTGGCCGCTCGTACAGCGTAATGACCAGATCTCTTTGCTGATGAAGGCATATCCTCTTGTATTGCGCAGCGCAGAGTACAGCGCGCAGCGCTTGAGAGACAGGCCATGGCGATTGGGTCGGCAGTGACGGCATTCAAGCAGCCAGAGCCTGTGACGGCACAGTTGTGGCGCATCAGGCATTGAGCCCGTGTCGTGTTGACGGTTCACGAAGGCATGATTCGCCTCTCGTCCCGACGAGCCCCTGACGGCGAGTTGGGATAGTGAGAGGAACAGGAATGGCGGCTATTCAGGCGGCCCATTAGGCCCCACTCTCGCATGCTTGGCAGGGGAGAGGGACCCCAAGTTGGACATGGCGGCTGAGGAACTGGCCACTGCACATGCTTTTTTCAGCACAGCGAGCCTGATACCCACGCACGGCATCCTTTTCTCGCTTTCTCGCCATGCGACGGCCATCTCCCGGAGTCCCTCCGCTTGTTGTAATTTCCCGGAGCTCGGCAACAATTGTAGAGTGATTATCGATTCCGTACCTCCACTTTCTCGAGATCAGCATGGTCTGTTCAACGGTCACCGTTGATGTGAAGACCTCGAACACCCAAGGTGTGTGCCAAAGATGTAAGCGAGCAGCAGATGCAGGGCGCTGCTGCAGTGAATCCCACGCTTGCTCTGAAAGATGCGTGACAGGAGTAAAACCTGTCGCACCAGGATGCAATGGGCCAATGTCCGTGGAAACGAAACGTTTCGTTACTCGCTTCTGACTCCTTCAGCGGCGCGGTAGCTTTTGTCACGACTGATGCATGTAGAGGATCAGAACCTTGCTCCGCGGTATAGCGAGTACGATGTGGCAGTAAGCATGCGGTTGCCGACTTCCGATTCGATGCGGTCTGCAACTCCCAACGGACAACGAGCACGAGATAGCACACAGTTGTGGAACTGGGCGGACCGTGGCCATTGCCCAGCGTTGAGGTTTTAGAAACCTTCAACTTCGTACGGCGACCGTTGGCGGAAAAGGGTTCAGCATTGGCTTGGCGGGCCCTCAAGTTGGGCGGCTCCACGGTAGTTGTCCACCTCGTACTTTTTTTCGCGCCGGCGACGCCGCCATGCCTATAGTGTGCGCCTTAGGAACCAAAACTCATCTTACTCCGTCATGCGAAAAGGGATAAAGTGCTAGATAGGAGATTGCAGTTTTTGAAGGTGTCGCTTGTGGCTAGCCAAGGACCAATTGTGGACATCTGGCGAGATGTCCGTCGCGCTATCGATTGTAACTTCCAGTCCGCGGCTGCATCGTCTCGAGAGGCTCTGTGTGATGGTGTCATAGGGAGCATCGGTCCCATCGTGATGTAGGTCATGCCCAAGCCTCCGCTCTCTCTTGTTGCGGTAATGCCAAGATTCCACTCGTACTTGCTTCCTACCTTGTGAGAGACTTAGAGCAGCTTCTTGTGCGATGCATATGGTGAGTATTGAGATCTAGAAAGCAAGTGTCCAGGCCTGCTCGAGCTTTGCGATAGTCAAGTTCCGTCTTAGGTACGAGGCCAAGCAAAGAGCGCGCCTATCTCCGACCTGACCTCCCATTGTCTGCGAAGACAATTAGGAATGCTCAACAGGCTGTCTTTCAGAAAGGACTTTTGGCATCTGTGATTCTTTGATAAGCAGCGTAATTGGATCGCGCTCCTGGAGAATCTTGACAGATGGATATTGAAGATGTTGGGTGTGGGTCTTGGCAGCTCGCGACGATGTATGGCGTCATACACGTCCTGTCCAGCGGTCACCCTTCCAAAGAGCGCTCCTCGCATAGCTTCAATACTATTTAGCACGATACTGTCAAGCAGCCTGGTCTACTCCGAATCATACCACTATCATGGCCTCGAAAGACGAATCGTCCGACAACTCCAAGGTAATCAAAACTGAGCCCCTGGACAACAAAGACGCCAAATGGGCAACGCTTGTGAAGTAAGTATTTAGCTAATGTCGCACCCCGCACATGCTCGGATTCTCTTGGGTCGTTAGACAATCTCATGAGTTTAGAAGCACAAAAGGCACTCGCACTTGAGCTAGAAGAGGAAGAAAAACACCCCCACTCTGCGTCAAAAGTTGACTGACAATCACTAGAATCACCTACACTGACCCCAAAGGTGTTGAGCGCACATGGGAGTCTGGGGAGCGTCTCACTCGACCCAAGGGATCTGACATCGACGGCGTCGGTGTTGCAGCAATTCTTCAAGACCCGGCGAAACCAAACGATGAGCCTCGGATCATCCTCCAAAAGCAATGGCGCCCACCAGTCAATGCGACCGTCATAGAAGTTCCAGCTGGCTTGATGGATCCCGATGAAAGCCCGGAAACCTGCGCCATCCGCGAGCTGAAGGAAGAGACGGGGTACATTGGGGAACTCGTGTCAGACAAGACCGTATGCAAGCTCTTCTTTTGCAGACGCAACTTGGGCTAATTCTATATCTCTGAAATCAGTTTCAAACTACTCCAATCATGTTTAATGGTAAGTAAAGCCTTTGAGTCGCATTCGCTATCCACTGGATCTTGTGTCCTGTCCATGGTGGTGTCCTCGTCATACCGCTACGCAGGAAGCGCATGTAGCGCTCGCCCTTCACCATAATGTCCACCAAATTACAATCACTGCTGATTGTCTCTACTTCACATACTAACATCTATCTAGATCCAGGTTTCTGCAATACCAACCTCAGAATGATTCACGTCACGGTAGACATGTCTCGGCCGGAGAATCAAAACCCACAGCCGGAGCTCGAAGAGAACGAGTTCATAGAGACATTTTCCGTTCCGCTTAAAGATCTCTATGATGAATGCATCAGATTCGCGGAGCAAGGATACGTTATCGACGCAAGAGTGGGCACACTGGCGGAAGGGATAGAGTTCGCAAAGAGATGGAGGTTGGCATGACAATGCGGAAAGACCGTAAAGTTCTTCCATCTATGACGTGAAAAAACCCACACGTAGATGCCCGCGGACACTATCATGTATTTGCAGATACCCGGCGGGCTCCTGCTGCACCAATGAGTTCGGCCCCAGCTTTGTCTCGTAGCCTGCATAACACAGTACAACAGCAAAGCAACATCCACTTCAAAAATCCCCTCACTACTCTCGATCTCACCTGATCTTGGTGGATGTTTATTGGCCAGAAATCTGTTTTGTTGGCCTGTCACTAACTGCATTGCAACATTGTCCGCTGTCCAGATTCTTGGTCCTACGCCACATCGACGGCTGGCTCGCTTATCCCCGCCCCGACTCTACGGTTATAGCATCGCTTAGTATAGTGGATAGCCACCGAAATATGATCTATCACTTACGCGTATAGATGTTCCGTTCGTCCTGCGTTTGAGCCGTGCTCTTGCATGGATTTGCATGTCGCAAGCTCGTTAATGTCGGGAACTGCTGGTAGGGCCTCCATTTACAAACTTTATGTGACCTACCGACGCTTGTGTATACTGAAGGCGGGTAAGTTCTGACACAGACGAGCCGCTGGAATGTCTCATATCCTTTAAACAGGCCGTGGCCTCGAAGAGTCGCAGGTGTGTTGCATTGCATCAATGTTCTTGCTTTTTTTGTTTGATTGATACCCGATCCACACCACAATGGGGCAGGTAACCCAAGACATTTGCGTAGGAGTTTCTACAGCTCTAACGATACTTTCAAGTAAGCAAAGATCAGGCAATTGAGCTCGTCTTTGTATTAACCGTTATCAGTTATATGTGTCGCTCTCCGACTCTACACCCGTACCTTCATCGTGCAACATACAGGCAAAGATGATTATGCCATGGTATTCGCGCTCGTAAGTCAACACACCTATCCTCTACTCAATTATTAACTCCAGCAGCTGTTCACGGTCGCCTATCTTGTCGCCATTTTCATTTTGCGCGATAACGGTATGGGCTTCAGTGGTGAGGTTCTGCAGCTCCAGCAGATGTTGAACCAAATTCAAGCGACACTTGCGATAGAGATAGTCTACTATCTCATCATCAATGCTATCAAAATCTCGATTTTGTTCTTCTACTTACGCATCGGTCAGTCTCGTTCCTTTTGACAAGAAGACATTGCTGATCAGTTCTACAGCCGTCGAGAAAAGATTCGAGTACCTTTGCAAAGGCACAATCTACTTCCTAGTCACCTTCGGTGTCGTCTGCGTAATTGTATGTCTGGCACAGTGTGTTCCACTACATAAGATGTGGGACTTGGCCGGGCAGGTTTCAGGCCGATGTATCAACACGACAGCGTTCTTCTACAGTAGGTGCATCTGTCTATTATCTAGTCACTTCCTAACAATATTTCCAGCAACGAGCGCTGTAAATATCATTGCTGATATCTGGATTCTGCTTCTTCCTATAACTACACTGCTCAAAGTCCAGCGCCCGAGACGAGAGAAATTCGCCCTTGTGATCATCTTCAGCCTCGGTGCATTCAGCTGCATTGCATCGATCGTGCGCCTGTACTCAGTTGGCGTTTACACGGAATCTGAGGATCCTTTCTTCGACAGCGTTCCCATCAACGTATGGAGCATGGTCGAAATTAACGTGGGCATCCTCTGTGCCTCTATTCCCGCCACCAAAGCCCTCTTCAGCAAAGCGCAGAGACATCGTACGCATAATGGCTCGTATCAGTACCATAGTCGTGAACGCAGCATCATGAAAAGCTATGGCCATGGTAGCGGGAAAAGCAATAGCAACAACGGACAGGAGGGAACCGCTGGAGGCCCCACCGGGGCCGTTATCCAGAATGAGTCGTATGAGCTGAAGGATGTGGAAAGTGGGGATCACCAACCGTTTGACGCGAGAAAGCAAAATGGTGGCGGTGGGGCATGGCGCGTTCCTGACTCGGATGTGGACGAACAGCGTCTTGTATGGCCAGAAAGCAGAGTTTAAAGTTTGAGATCGCAAGCCACAAATCGTCCTGTCCTAGCCCCACTATTACGTGCTGCTCCTTCTGTGCCATACATGACATGTTGTAGGGCTGGGATTTGGACAAAATGCCATTTCCAGCGTTACATTTGGCATTAGAAAGGGTACGAGTGGTGGGTTGATTATACTATGAATGTACCAGGTTCCGGGTTCTCGGTTATGCGATCGTTGCCTAGACGTTTGACTTGGTACTCGGAGATCAGGCGTGCTGCAGCTGTCGACTTCCCGTGTTCTGTATGGCGTTATTAGTATACGCAGGAACCGGGTAAGCTACTGCAACCGGTAACGTCTCATAAGTGGTGTCATTCGTGAGCAATGTCGAATGTCCGCAGGAAGCATGACGGCCCTATGCTCCGAGTTCCTCCTCTACCTAGGTACCTTTGAATTAATGGATCCTTCTGCATACCTAGGTAGTCACCGTGCGAGTTGCAGATCCATTCACGCGTGAGGACAGGCATCGAATTTTAACTCGGATGTCGGTTCCAAGGCTCCAACTTCCATGCGGTTAGTGAATCCACCATAACGATGTCAGCCCGGATGAATATAATGGCTCGGCTGAAAGGATGGACGAATGAGAGTAGTCAGAGAACTGCGGAGAGAATTGGGCGCGTGCAGCCATGGCAACACTGTCCCAGACTCAGACGCTTGAAGAATCGACCCAGAACTTGCTTGCACAGGGCAGTCCAGTAGGATATAGTTTACGCACTAGACAGCGAAGTTTTACAATACTGCAACCTGGTGATGGTTCGTGAGCACTACCTACTTCACCATATCCTATGCGCCGTCAGGTTTCCACCAGCTCAAGCATCGCCGATGGCCTAACTCAAGACGCCGAACTCAATCATCATCAAGATGACAGCTTCATACTATCATTAGGTGTCATTTTGGACAAATGATATGAGAGCGAATGAGATGGAGGCTCACAAAAAAATGGGCAGTATCTAGATACCAATGAGACTACCTCTTAATCGTAGTCCGTGTTGGTAGCAGCGCCCTCCCACTCCTTCAACAACCTCAATGTACCCTCACACTTCTCTCGAATCACATCATGCGCATCTTTCCCTAGAACTAGTCTGATCGGTATCTGCTTTCCTGCCGCACATCCACTCATCGTCAATACATCGACGATGACCCTACATGCTTTTGCTGTATCTCCTACCTGTTTACCATCTGCCTCTGCCAGAGCCTTTCTCAGTTCTCCGATCTCGCCATTCTCATACGCATCGATGCGCTTTTCGCTTTGCGCCTGCACGTCCTTTGAAAGAATAGCAGTACGATACCAACCCGGCTCAACAACAGTGACGAAGATACCCAAGGGTGCGAGCTCCGCACGCATGCCTTCTGTAACACCTGATACAGCCCATTTGGTTGCTGAGTATATACCGTGGCCTGCACCACTGTACCAAGATGTTACTGACCCGAAGTTTGCGATAGTGCGATGACCAGACGTGGCGCGCAGATAGGGTAGAAAAGCTTTGGCGACGTTCAGGGTGCCGAGAACGTTTGTTGTGAAGGCTTTCAGGTCTTCCTCTGGACTGAGGTTTTATTAGCACGCATGGTAGCCTAGACATCAAGAACGACGTGGTACGTACGATGTCTCCTCGACAGCGCCCACAAGCACATAGCCTGCGACATTGACGAGATGGTTGATGTATCCATATTTGTCATAGACTTTTTTGGCCACTCCCTCAAGGTCCGTCAATGGAGAAGTGACGTCTAGGACCACGGTATCGGCGCCTGCGACTTTGAGATCTGCAATGCGAGGGAGGCTTCGAGCGCTGGTAATGACTTTGTGACCACGTGATAGGGCTTCAAGGGCCAGGGCTCTGCCGAAGCCACTTGATGCTGCTGTAATGAACCACACTGGAACTGGGCCGCCCATTCCAGAATACTGTGTTCCGGGCATGATTTTCACAAAACAAATGGAGATAGGGGGTGCAGTCGTAGGTGAAGCGCGTGCTGGTGGCGTCTCAGAGCCTTATCCGAGTCGGGAAGTCAACCTCAGACTTACAATCTTAGAACAGTGGTACCAGATGCTTGAAATTAGAATTATTGAATGCTCTATCTATACTGGAGCTTCAAGATGATCAGAGACTCAAAGAAAGGATTGAAACAGTCCTGGAAGCGATGTAAGAATTCTGCAGTGTAAGCAAACTGAGGGTGTTATCGGTGACGGTGCTGCACATATGGTCCATCGAAAGATATGCCATATGTCTGCTGATCGCTATTGTCCATTAAGGATCCATTCTTGGGCCCGGTGAGAGGGTTTGGCACATGCTTGTAGATGGTTGGTGGGAGTTCCCGTGGATATGCGTCTTGGCGATGCACAGCTTACTTACGCCCTGTAAGTTGGAGCACCATCATAGGTTCGCATACGGAAACAATAACAATTTATCAGGCTAAGAAGCTGGAGACAAGAGTAAGGCGGATGAAGCATCGATTCGGGCACAATTGGTCGCCTTGTACCACAGTGGCGTGCGACACTTCAGCCTTGCAGTCGAACGTAAACCTACCGCAAGACTAAACTGGTAATTCTTGCCCGTGGGTATGACAACCAAGCATCCCATTGAGATCCGAGATACTTCTCAATGATTGCCAATATATGAAGTCCCGCATCGCCAACCTGCCATAGATGCCTGCCAAAGTGTAATAAGATTGCGTAGTGTGCAAGCACTACCAAGGCCACAGGCTGCTTCGCGGCCAAGAGTCCGGTGAATCCCGGGGGGATCAACATAGTCCATTCGCAGATCATCTGGTACCGACTGATTGGCGAATCTTCGTCCCTTCGTACTGCATCGAGCCCGACTTGCAGGTAGTGGACTGCGATTCGACAAGCATGTTTTTCCTCTGCGCTCATACCATCCGTATCTTCAATAAGACTGAAGACCGTTGAACAATCATCGCCTTCGGACTGCCGAGAAGTGAACTCCTTGCTCATGGACAGTATAGGCTCGAGTTCCGACTTCATCAGCAGTGACCACGCGGACGTAGCAATGGTGTAGATTCCTCTGTGCATTTCTATACACTGAACATAGTGCGTGATAAAAATCTCCATGTCGGTTGAAGGCTGTACTGCGAGTATCTCCGCCAGTAGATGCTGACCCAGCATGGACGAGAAGAGTAGCATCGGTACGCAATTCAGCTGGTTCACTTCGGCTCTAGTTGTATTGAAAATCGAAACAGCGCGTGTCTGCAAAGTTACAGCCTGATTCCGGTAATAGGCTAAACAGTGCGGGTTGGCATGTGCCAAATGGCAGGAGGAGAAAGCTAGAATTTGGTGCATAAGATATGGTGCCTTCAAAGCCGTCTCCATACCTAGGGCGAGACCAGCGCGATGAAACTTCTCAAACCCGATCGCAAAGTTGTACATCTCTTCGTTGAGCATTGCGTGTATGAGGAGCTCCATGTGACCCACATTGACAGGTTCCTCACAGTAGACATGGCCATTATCGATAGATTCATCAACTGTCGACTGCCCAGCGCAGAGCACAGAAGGTTTTGAAGGGGCTTTGCTTCGCGTCATCGCAATAGTGCGGCCATACTGAATTCCTGGGCTCACAGATCGAGAATGTGTATCTGGAGTCGAAAGAGATGAGAAGCTGCACTCCCGGTCGGAAACAGTGCATAGCCTGCATTTGGGGCGGTTCTCGTCGCACTAGAGATAACGAAGCTTCGGTCAGTATAACACAACAAGACTCGGAGAGTAATGCGCACTTTTACATGCCGTCGTTTACTACAGTTACGTATCAGTCAAGTGAGGAATGTAGAGGGGGCATTGTTGGAGCGGAAAAGGAATACCGAGAACGTACCACTCCGAGCATCCGCCTCTCGACTTCCTATGACTGCGCCGAAGCATCTTAGTCCCATGGCTGCGAAAGACCAGGATAACACGCGTATTACATATTTGCAGCGGTTGAAAGTCTGGACGGCCAGTGCGACTTGGCGGTGTCGGAGGCCTGATGTTTCGGGTAACGTAACACGCGTGTCGACTTCTTTGGGTAAGCGCAAGACCCTCCGGCCCATCTCCCCTACACACCCAACGGCAACATACTGGATCTGATGACTACGGTGGTCCATCCTGATCGAAACGGGATACTTGCACGGACGAAGTATGAATACCAGCTCGCAAGCTCCACTGACTTCGGTTAGCCACCTACTCTCAAGCCATGCGGCTATGCGTCAATTGCTGTACAATTTCGCCTTGTGCGTATCTGAGCAGAATCGCCATCAGAAGGCAAGCTCTTGGCTGAATCAGATATAGAAGCAAGAAGGCAAGGAAACGCTTGGGTGAACGTATTCATCTCATACAAATACACTTAGGCTTCCCTTACTTGAGGTGTTCTCTCTCATACTATTCACCTGTTTTTTCAACCCCCGGATAAAGCTTGGTGCGGTACATTACTTTTTCACTTCTGTCTCTTTGTCTGGCGCAGCATCCGATCATGCCTGCGCTTGAAACTTACAAAGGTGCATACCTCTGGAAATATGTGCCTAGTTTCGCGGCAGCTATTACTTTTGGTGTTCTATTCTTCATTTTAACCCTGGCGCATGCCTACAGAATGCACAGGTATCGGACGTGGTATACTATACCCTTCATCACTGGTGGCTTCTGTACGAACTGATCTACTGTCGAATGTGACACGTCTAGACATCACTGAACTGACTTCTCTATAGGTGAGCCCATTGGCTATGCATGCCGCGCAATAGCAACCTACCATACAGGCTCCCTCATTCCTTTCCTCCTACAAGCAATATTCATACTCCTTCCACCGTGCCTGTTCGCCGGGACGTTGTACATGGTGTACTCGCGCGTGGTACGCGCTACGCACGGCGAACGGTTCTCCTACCTCTCCCCTCGATGGTGCACACGGATCTTCGTTGCAGGCGATCTTCTCTGCCTCAATATACAGTCGACCGGAGCAGGATTTTTACCCAAACCAAAGCTGGTGAATGCTGGCAACGGTGTCATTGTAACGGGTTTGGGGTTACAAGTTCTTATTTTTGCAGGTTTCATGTGGTGCTGCATACTTTTCCACCGCAAGTTCTCGCTTCATCTGCGCAATTCTGGTCAACATGTTCATGTCCCTTGGCAGAGTGTACTTTGGATGTTGTATGGCACTTCTGTAATCATCTCTATTCGTAACATCTTCCGGCTAGTCGAGTTCATCGCTGGGCACGATAGCTACCTGTTCTTGAACGAGTGGCCGGTATATGTTTTCGATGGTGCTCTGATGCTTCTGGTCATGATCAGCTTCTATATCTGGTACCCATTTCAGCTACAAAACGAGGAGATTGGTACGGAGAGTATGATTGAGCTCACGAACGAAGACAACAGTCCACCGGGGGATGAGCCATCTAGAAAATAAGGTGCGATCAAGAATTGTCAACGCCCATAAATTTTACAAAGACGATGTTATCTACTATACCACAGTTTCGCTCAAGTTGAACATTACAGGCCTCGTTTCTGCAAACACCTTCTTCTGGTCTAGTTCCTCAAACCACTGCGCCAATACCTCATATTTGCTCTTCCATTCAGGCCTCATCTCGGCGAATTCGATGAATCCAACAGTGCACACAACCGCAATATCGGCAATGGTCAACTCATCGCCAACAAGATAGACCTTCCCTTTCTCTTTCGTGCTCCGTATCATTTCATCAAAAGCCCGCATCGCACCGTCAATTTTGCGATTCTGCCTGCCGAGCCAAAGCTGAGACTGCTTTTCTTTTTCGCGTCGGCCTTCGAATCGAGCTATCACAATGGCGTCCATACATCCCTCGCTGAGGACGACGATCTGTCGAATTTGCAAGTCAAGGTCGACGTCGTCGGTGATTAGTTTTGGTCCCTTGTCGGCGTACTTGCGCACGATGTACTCCTGAATGTGTGCACTATCGTATACGGGTGGTCGGCCATCAAGGAAAAGTAAGATGGGTAATTTTTCCAAAGGGTTGTATTTGGGTGTTTCTGTTGCACTTTGCCAGGGTATCTCGTTTTGAAGTTCAAAAGGTATGCCTTTTAAAGTGAGCGCGATGCGGTTCATGCGTGCAAACGGTGATGGCGTTGCTGATATGAGAGTTAACGGGGACGTTTCGGTGCTGGAAGTAGACATCTTCGCTGAATACTCTTGTATCTGTATGTCTATGAGGAGCTCAAAAGGTACAACTGGAATGTAAGAAGAATGGTGAGGACATGATGGGACGTGGTTTGGATGATGTATTGGCGTGTGCGGAGATAAGCCCGATGCTACGTCATGGGTCTGCAGTGGTATTTGAAATCGTGTAGCTCCTCTGGTCCGAAGTGTGCTTGATAAAAGATCTGATACTACTCTTCTGCGAAAGCTTTGAATTACCCATTGATGACATGTTTCCCAATCTTCTTGCTCCACCCCTTCATGTCGCTCTTGCTGTCTCTAATATCTTTCGCATCCATCCTCCGTGCCCTCTGCACACTGTCCACCAGGGCTTGTACAGCATCCTCAACCTCTTTCCTTTCATTTGAACTGATTTCGATATGACGGAAACCCTGGCTTGAAGCCCACTGGTCTGCCATTTCCTTCTTCACTTGCCTCTTCCCTTCGTCCCTGTCGATGATGTCCTTCTTATTACCAACTACCACGCACCCGAACCTCTTCTTTAATCCTTGTATCCTCCCTTCTGCGCCATCTTTGATGAATACGGTGTTGCGACACTGCCAGATCTGCAGATACGTATGTTGGATAAGGTGATTAAAGGAAAACAGAGACGTAACATCGTATAACAGAACAACGCCATCCGCGCTGGCTATATAAGTATGTAAGACTTCGCGGTATCTGGGAGAGATGTCGCTGTTGAGGTTCAAATCTATGAAAGAAAAGCTCCAGGTCTCGTTTGCATACGAGATGGTTCTTGAAAGTGGTTCGGAGTCGACGGGACCATGACTGATAAAGTGCTTGCCTTCGAGGAACTGCAGCTGGAATTGGTGATCTTGACGTTGAAGAAACGATGCTTGTACAGGATGTTGACGAAAGAGTTGCGTACCATGTCAATAAAACATGTCTTGCCGACAAGCTCCTCACCAAAGATAATTATCTTGAGGGGGTTGGGTTCCTTCGGTCTCTTAGAGCGCAGCATTGTCAAGCCTGAGACAAAAAGCAAGTGTGACTTCGGGATGGAATTGGATCATGTTGATTGTCAAGGCGTAAAGGAATCCTTCCAGGAGTCGCGACTGCCTAGTCAGACACGCTAAGCTTCGAGAAGAGGCAGGCAACATATCATCATGTGTCCGGTCCTGCGTACTACTCAAACCACAGTGCGAGTATCGCTAGCCTAGCTCGTCTCGTGTCTTTCACGATAATCCCGTGAAGTGGCTTATTACCGTAGAGTAGCTTATTGGCATACGTGGGTTACGCGTGTACCCCTAAATGTAGGCCCACATTTCTGCCAAGTCTGGGTGCCGGCAGCCCGGCACGTGTCTGGGATCGACGCTGGGGTCAGCCAGGAACGCTAGATGGTCTTCGAGAAACGCGAAACAGCAGCGGCCTTATTATGAGGGCTTTTCGCCCACGTAGTCTTGCGTTGCAGAGATTCGGACGCACTTCATCATATTTCTGCGTCGACACTGCCCCTTTGAGCCCTCAATCGTCATCTCAGGAAGGATCTGAGCAACAAACACCACGCGGAAATGACTCTTCGGCCAGCATAAAAGAAAGGAGTGCCATAGCGCTGTCACCACTTTCGCATTATACACCGCCATACTCGAAATCTGCACTCTACGCTGTGAGAAGGATTTTGAGAGACGCAGGCAGTTTGAAAAATCTCCCTCGATCCACGTATTGCGATGACGTCGTATCGTGATCACCCCTATGCGCATGCGCAAAACCGGCCACGACCCCTCATCGAGCAGATACCAGACTATCGTGACGACCTTGACGTGTCAGACGAAGAAGACGGTTTCTACGCACGCGACGACGATTTTCTGATTCCGCCGAAGTTTCAGGCGGCAATCACACGCACAACCGATCGAATCCCGCGGCGGATAAAGCGCCATAGTGGCACATATCTCGTAATCGCTATTCTCTTCATAATCAGTTGGTTTACATACCTGGGTCCCAAGCGGACGGCACACAAGATGGAGATACACGCCATGGACAACGTACCAACTATGGTTTACGGCAGCAATGTGCGACCGGAATTCAAAGGCATGATACAGGTCAGCGACATGGATGAGCAGCACCTGCCTAAGAAGCATAGTAGACTTGTCTTCGTTGGCGATGTCCATGGCTGCAGGAAGGAACTGGAGCATCTTCTCAAGAAGATCGACTTCAACCATAAGCACGACCACCTCGTGCTGACTGGCGATATGATAGCCAAAGGCCCCGATTCGCCAGGCGTCATCAAGCTCGCCCAGAAGATCGGCGCTTCCTGCGTACGCGGTAACTGGGAAGACAAACTGTTGCTCTCCATTGCCGAAGCGCAAGATCGTCATGTCCTCAAATTCAGCCCTGACGACTCTCCCGATGTGAAAGTGGATTTCGTAGACCAGGTCAGCCAATCGCACGGCGACTACAAGCTGCGTAAATTAGCAAAACAGTTCACAAGGAGGGAAATCGAATATCTCCAACAATGTCCCGTCATCCTCCGCGTCGGCACCGTCCCGACCCTAGGCAACCTCGTAACCGTACACGCCGGCCTCGTCCCCGACACGCCTCTCGAACAGCAAGACCCGTTTCATGTTATGAACATGCGCACTATCGATCTTAAGACGAGGATCCCGAGTAGCAAACATGCGGGCACACCGTGGGAAAAGTTCTGGAATCATCGTCAGGAAAAAATAAAGCAAGAGGGCAGAGCCACGGTGGTTTATGGGCACAACAGGAAGAAGGGCCTCAATATACATGAGTACTCTTACGGTCTCGATACTGGGTGCGTTAGTGGAGGGAAGCTGACGGCGCTTGTTGTCGACTGGGAGGGCAAGACGGATTTGGTACATGTCAAGTGTGAGAAAGCGAATGGGTATGCTAGCGACTAAGGCCATACCGCACTTCGTGGCACAACACTGGGCGTTTTTGGCTGGGAGTGTGGCTTGAGATGTACAGCGGCACGGCTTATTAAGATTATGGATATTTTTGTCAGTTTAGCGTTAGCATAGCACTGTTGTAATGTCACGAGAAGTCATCATGTCTCTTGGAATGTGTTTTAGACGAGAAACACCATCGTAAATGCCTTGCTCATGGAAGACAAGTGCGTCGCTACGTGTTTGCAGCGCAACTAAGATACCTTGCCCCCCGACCTCCATGATGAAATATCAATGGGTGCGCACTACCATCTACACTAAACGTCTCCACAGAGAGTAGTTATGACCGTTGCTGGATGTCGTATTGCAGCATATGCGTCGTAGTGGCGGTAGTGCTGGAGGTGCAGACGCTGCCGTTCACAAGGTTCAGGATGTAGAGATGGGCAACCGGACTTCAAACCCTCCTGCAAATAACACTAGCGCTTCACATTTCTTAGATGAGGAGGTGTGAAGTACATCATCGAGAGTGGGTCTTGAGCTTGCTCCCAGTCCCAGTGAAGGGACACGAGAAGCCATATTGCCACTCAGTCCGCTCCGAGCAATTCATGCAGCTTTATCCATATTCCAGCCATCATCGCCGCCGTTGGGGCCTTGGAGTAGAGGAGTTGAACCATGAGCAGCAAACTGCGCAGGATGCATCTTAGGTACACCGCTTTCCTGGAGATCTGGTGATGTCTTGAGTGCGCCACTATGATACACAGGAGAACGACCTTGCGTTCCATGAGCAGATGTTGGGAAGCAATATTGCTCGTTTGATTTCTTCAATGCGATATGCTCGGTAGGTTGGCGAACAGCTTCTAGGCGATCTAGAAAAGGGCTATGCTGATCTGCTGGACCACGTTGAGAGACGGTACCGAGACTAGCAGTGTATTGAGCAGTAGAAGGGAGAACGTGTCCAACACGGCGAGTTACACGGCCATAGTTACCCTGTATCAGATCATTGTTGCGCTTGACCAGATCATGGAGCATCTCGGTTTGCTGCGCTATAACTGTCTTCTGAAGCTGATTTTCCTGACTGAGGCCGATAATCTCACCACGTAACTCCACCATCTTAGTATCAACAAGGCTGTGCCAGTTTGCGATGGTGCCAGCGTTCTGATAGATCGGAGTCTCTCCGTTGATGATATCGACTTGTTCTTCAGAGACTGGTGAGCCGATAGGCGATTGTGGAATCTCTATTCCATCATGACTACTCTCGAACATGACTGCCGTGTGGGACTTTGCTTTCATGACCATGAGGGTGTCCATGTCACGGAGTTTGATTTCGGGGCGCTCGGTGTCTTGGACGTCGTTTGGAGTCATGTCGTAGTCAATGTTGATATAACGTTCGCGTTGCGCATCCCGAGGCCCACCCAGAGCATATCGGTAGATGAACGCCCAATCTACCCCGTACTGTTTGTTTCGCTGTCGACAATAGGCGTCTAGATGAGGGCCGAACTTTCGTGATGCGCGAATCGTGAGGATGGAGAAGATGGGGGTGTTGTTGATATCGTACGTGTTGCTGTGGATGCGAAGCCTTAGAACGGGATCGTTCTCGTCAGCTATCATAGGCGTCGAGAGTTGCAGGGAGATGGGCCGAGTGATCTCCCGACCAACGTGTCCCTCCGTAGTCTGAGACACCAGATTCATTCCTCGAGACTGCTCAGATGACGGCAGATGTGCCGGCGCGCCTAGATGTGGGGATGGTTGAGGCGATGACTGACGAGACGGCATACGAGATCC